TTAGGTGTACTACAACCTGATAACATTGTCATCAATATTTTTGCCTCTTTTCTCTAAACTTAGCCATTTACCCATAACCAAATAATATTTTTGTCCTGAAATATAAATAAATACTGCTAGTAATTTCTCAAATAAAAATTAGCTTTAGTTTCTGAAATTACATTTGTTTGAGCTTAATTTAAAAAATTGACGTTCGCACTTACAAACACATACAGTGGTGATAGTGGAAAAATATTATTAAAGAGCTTTTGTCTTTACTTGCTGCAATTAAACACTTATGTTTCTGTAAAAGAAGGAGATAACAGCCATTTTAGAAATCAAACATTCTAACACAATATAATCCAAAGATAAACTAATTTGATACTTACATGCTGAGGAATGACATTAGGACAATATTAAAAGTCTTTATTTTCTGTAATTAAACTATTATATTTCTGTAAGAGTAGAAAACTTTGTATGTACAGTACAACACTGCAATTCATAACATACTATAGTCTCCAATCTGAGCCAAGTTATTTCTGGCAGCGTTCATTAGTGTTGAGTGGTATGACAACATGCGTAGCACAAAATGCACATGTTGTATGTTCAGAACTAAGGCAGTGAAGTCAAGTGATGCAACACAGGCAAGCACTTCCAGAAACACCTCAGATTCATTATGCATTTGATTTTGAATTAATTTTGGTTGTTGCACATTCAGAAACCTTTTACTGTCGCCAATTTTTTCACCATCCCCACGTTCAGTTACATGACCCCACATTGGGTCACAACCCACAGTTTAAGGAACACTGCTATGGAGCAGGACAATCTCCAGTCATCTTGATCTATATCTTGCCATTGGATCAGATGGCTCCAGAGAGGAACGTGAGGCTGACTTTGCACAGCCCTCCCTCGCTTAAATCCAATTCACTCATATGCCATAGCATCACCTTCCTGATGTCACGCTCCTCTTCAAGAACTAAAGACAAACAACAACCTCTGTGAGAAGTAGTAGGAGCTACCCTACTGGGGACCCAACTGGAACTGGCCATTTGGGCAACACAGTTCCTTCCTTCCTTCCTTCTTTCCTTCCTTCCTTCCTTCCTTCCTTCCTTCCTTCCTTCCTTCCTTCCTTCCTTCCTTCCTCACTCTCTCCCTTCATACCTCCATCTCTCTCTCTCTCTTCTTTCCGTTCCTTTCCATTTCCTCTGTCCACATAGGGTGTCATACCCTTACCTGCAGGTGTTCTGTCCAAAGGAATGTAAATTTTGATTACTGAAACCTCACATGATATCTTGGGGTTTAAGGGTGAGATTTCTTTCTTAAGGATTATGCCTTAAGCCCAGATCACTCTGGCTCTCATTGATTGGCCAACAATAGGTCCCAGGTCAAGTTCCACTTTGTTTGGATTATGGATATTAGTTATGGATAAATGGCTAAATTGAGAGAAAAGAGGCAAAAATACTGATGACAATGTGGCAGACTCTTTGTTATCATTGTTTGGGACCTGATTGGCTCAGCATGAGTGTAAATAGCATTCGTTTGAGTTTTGTCCAGAAGCCCTGAGCATCTTCCCCTCCCAGATTGATTTTTTTTTTAGGTAAAAGAGGCCATTCTTACCTAGCCTTAATCACTGAATGGGCATTACCTCAGTCAGACTGAGACCTGTTAAAGACCTTAGCTTTAAAAGGCCAAGGTCTCCCACTGCATCCTGGGCCATCGCTAGTCTTCCTGATCTGTATCTGGCCACTGGACCCAGATGGCTCTGGATGAGAAAATGAGGCTAGTGACTTTGCACAACCCTCCCCCACTTAAATCCAATTCACTTGCGTGTCATGGCATCACTTTCCTGAATGGTCCTCTTCAAGAATGAAGGACAAACAACATTCTATAGACTAAGGAAACAAAGTTCTAGAGAGTTTAATGATTTTTATCAGGGTTAAACAACTGGCTAATGGCAAAGCCAGGACCAGAACCTAGTCTCCTGAATTCTGAATTAATTATTCTTTTTGCTATGTCACACTCCTGAGAGTGAATATAAGAGAGTGGAGGTGATACCTCTAGCAGACAGGCAATGTGTAATATCATCCACAGTAGAGTGCAAGCTTCTTTAGGAAAAGGACTTTTTTTTGTACCCCTAGGACCTATCACAGTGCCATGCATAGCCCAAATACCCTAGTGAATCTATGCTTTCATCAAGGTGGGTAGTTTTTACTGATGCAATGGTAGCCCATCCATGCCTGACCATTCTGTATGATTCATGGCTTTGTTTTCTCATGAATTTGTCACATGAGGTTTACTTCATATACTTATTGTGTAGTAAGTGTTCATTAAAATAACATGAAATCAAATCATTTAATGAGAATACACTGGTCATTCAGAGCACTTACCATTCAACTAGATTAAAAAAAATTATTGTTGACTTTTGGCTTAATATCATTCATTTCCAGAAATACCTTTACCTCTGATATCTTCCCCAGTCCAGAACCTTCCTTTGTATCAAAGAAAAACAGTTTAAGCAATTGTCTAAACAGGACCTGAGATAGTGACTTCATTTAACAATATATTCATCAAAGCACGGACTTGTGTCTTTCTTTTTATCTCTAGAATTTAGCACCGTCCCTGGCACATAGTAGTTATTTAATAAATGGTAATTGACTAGCTGGATAGTAACCTGCCTTTCTGTTGAAAGGAGGGCAGTGTGTTTCATTATCTGTGTTCTAGGCCATTACTGGTTTTTCAGAGATTTAGAATTTACAGATCTTTTCTTTTATATTACTGTATTCATTGTGTATATTGTTTTTTCTTGTTCTATTGATTTCACTGCATCTGTCCATATAAGTTTACAGGTTAAATCTTTCTACCCACATGGCATAGCAGCTATAGTTCTAGATTTGGAATTCGGAAGTCCTGAGTTTGAATCTTATCTCAGATCCTTCCTACCTATGTGATGCTGGTTAAGTTCTTCTTACAGCCTCAGTTGCCTCTTCTGTAAAATGAGCACCAGCTTCATAGGGTTGTTGGGAAGACCAAATGAAATGTATGTAAAGCACTTTGCCCATCTCAAATCATTATATAAATGTTAGCTATTATTTTATTCTCTAAATTCCTCATATTTGTATGAGGAATGTCATACTTCATTGCATTCATAGAACATAGCTTATTCAGCCATTTCTCCATTGATACATATTTACTTTGTTACCAGGTCTTTGCATTTACATACACATAAAAATGCTGCTATGAATATTTTGGAATATGTTGGACTTTTGTTTCTGTCTTTCACTTTCTTGTGGGTATATGCTCACTAGTTGGATTGCTAGGTCTATAAACTCTGAGAGTAATTTAGTTGCTTTTGTTCTGCACAATTCCAAATTGATAGCCATAATTATTGGCTCAAGTTACAGCGCCCTTAACAGTAGACTGCGTTAGTATGCTACTAGCAGTATGCTGCATTAGTATGCTAGTTAGCAGTGCTAATCTTCTAGCACTTTACCAGACTTTTCTTCTATATATCATTCAGACAATATACATGGCTCCTGGTTTTGCAGGAAGCTTAAAAAAATCCAACATTTCTATCTGGTAATAGAACTCAATGTTCCTTTCACTTTCTTATTTAAGTAATAGCTCATACTTATATAGCACATTCAGATTTACAATCTGCTTTCCTCACAACACTAGGAAGTAGTTACTGGAAGTATTAGCAGCCCCATTTTACAGAAGGAGAAATAGAGTTTCAGGGAAGTTGAATGACTTCCTTAGCACAACTGAGGGAATGAGGGAATTGGAGCAGCAAGAAGTTATTTGTGAAAATTGAGTGAACCACACAGACTCCATCTTGTGACTCAGTTCTGGAGCTAGCTCAGTTCCTTTTCTATTCTATTATGGGTCTAGTCCAACTTCTGCCTTTTGAGAAAATGTCATTCAACTGTGCAAATGGGGGGAAACCTTATTTCATTGTTTGAACCTACCCCTGCATGGCTGGGAAGCTGGACCACCTCTGCCTGCTGTTTAGAGACCTTTAATTAAGGACTTAGGTTGATGACTTAGATTGATGCAAAGAGTTTTCCTACAATTACACATCTCAAGTAATCCATATGCCTTACCTGAAAATTGGACCCATACAGATCAATCAGTTCCATGTTCCTTTGATTGTTCAAAGACACTTGAGGGAAGGGAAACATCTCTGTCTCTTTTTTTTATTTCAGGGAATTGCACCTGTTCACTCACCCCCTCCCAATTTGTAAAGTCCCTAATCTTTCCTCCAAGTAGAAATCAGGTTATCTAATATTATATTGTTTCCTTTTAATTAATTGGTCTTATTTGATTAATTGTTTTTAATATATAAAAATCTGCCACCCCCTATATTCAGGGTCTAGTTCTAAGCCGCAGAAGAGGCCTGGTCCTGATTTGTTGGGCAACTGGCATGCATGGCTTAATAAATCAATATGCTTGGAAGCTCAAAGCTTTGTTTCCTTAGTCATTTCATAGCTAGTATGTAAGGGAGCTTGAAAGTGAATCCTGTCCTCTTCTGACTGTAGGTAATGTTTTCTGTCCCCTACTCCTCAACCTTTCTTTCCAAACTTGTATATGGACAGAAACAATCATAATTCAGGAGGTAGAATGGAATAAAGACTGAGGCAAAACAAAACCTTGGGAAAATAAAGCAGAAAATGAAGGGCTTATTCCCCACACTTGTTGCTTGCCCAAGAAACTTCCAGGTGTGACCTTATCAATCCCAATGAAAAATGCTTAGTCAGCCACTTACTTTCTGTCCTCGCTCGCTACTATCAAAATGGAGTTTCTTCTTCCTTTTGCTGCTGCAGCCTGCGCTAACCCCTCCTTCTCTCTAGCTCAGAATTTATTAAGCATTCTTCACTGGTTGCCAATGAGATTTCACCCTTTCAAATGAAAACCTCTCTTTGGTAGGGAAGTTCTTTCTAGCGAATTGCTTTATTTGAAAATAAAGTGTTTTATTCTTTTCTCACTTGTCATAAGCACTGATATAGATTTGGATTTATTTATCTATTTGCTGGTGGCTCAAAAAACCAGATTATAGAAGTCCATAAAGCTGTGCATGGAGGCTCCATTCTTCTTGTGTATTTTCACTTGGATATTTATATATCTTCTTTAATGGAAATGATGTTAACATTTCATTTCGCCATGGCCTTTTTTCATTACGGTGGATCCATGAATTTTGTTTGTCTCTGCCATCATACATTGACATTCAGCAGAGTGTTCTCAGAGCTCCCTTTGGGAAGGAAGAAAAATTTCTAGAAAAAGAAAGCACAGGACATCTAATGTAAATTTGTCTTGTCAAATATAGTTATTCACTATATCTACTTCTTACTTATGCTTTACAACCATCTCAGTTAAAAATAAAAAGCTATTAATGTATCCCTACTTTTTTGGTAGAGGACTGTTCTTATGACTGATAATAGCTCACAATGATATATGACTAGTGTGTAGTTTTCAAGTGCTTTACATACATTATACTGTAGCACTGTTTTAAAGCCTTTGAAAGGGTACTGATAGGTGGCACGTTAGATAGAGCACAAGGCTTGGAATCAGGAAGACTCATCTTCATGAACTCGAATTTGGACTCAGATACTTACTAGCTGTGTGACCCTGGACAAGTCACTTAATCCTGTTTGACTTAATTCATTTGTAAAACAGACTGGAAAAGGAAATGGCAAACCATTCCATCACCTTTACCAAGAAAACCCCAAATAGAGTCATAAAGAGTTAGACACAACTGAAATGATTCAACAACATGTATGAAAAGTCAAGAATGTAGCTAGGTATGAGTAAGTTATGACTTCTCCTCCTGGGGTTAGTAGTGTTCCTATCTCTTTTTCTTCTTCCATGTAAGATAAGATTATTAACTTAGAGCTTTAAAGAACCTAAGATACCACATTTGTGTGGAAGTATGTAACTAAGAAACTGGTAGACTCTGAACCCCAAGAAACCTAGGCAGTTTTGTGGAAGCGTTTAAAGGAAGCTGACTGTGGACATTAAACTCCATGCACTTAAATTATAGGGACTTTCTGTTCACCAGTCAGAATGAATCCTCTGATAGAAAGGTAGTCCTTAGTGACTGGGAGGAAATAAAGGTTAAAAAAAAAAGACAAATTCAAGCCTGAGAATGCTAATTATCTGTACTAGCTGTACCTCTGTGTTCCAGAGATTGGCTTAAGGTCAAGAGTCTCCTTTCAGAGTGGGACATGATTCCATCCAAGGCTTGAAGACAGAGAAAGCCTTTCTTACAGGAGGAAACCACTCTAGCATTTTTCTTTTGGTCTGATAACTGGGTACATTAGGGCTTTTGTCATTTTGGAAGAGTTATCACAGAAAAGCCTCTAGGCTTTAGACTAAAAGAGCAATGGTAGAGTCTGCTCATTCTTTTATAAGGAAGAAGTAGCACTCCAGGTGGAGACTTCATTTGAAGCTGGAAGCTGGAAGCATAGAAAAACTCCAATATCAGGCCCAGTGAAGCCATACCTGGTACCAACTAGTAAGCCACCACAGGAATAGTGGAACAATGTTGAGTACTGACCATGTGAGGTTGGTAGGGAACAATGCTCAGCAGAGATTGTCCATCCAATATAGACTACACACCATATGAGACCATCAGGAAGGAATAGCCTCAGAAGGAGCAGAACAATGACACCACCAGAAAATATTGATTTATATAACATCAAAGGCACCAGCTACATGTTTCCTCAAATATGTTACCCTACAGGAAAATTCACCTAGGTTTGTGGATGAAATACTTTATTGTTACTTGTCTTACTCATGTATTTCATTAAATACTTTTGCTTTGAGCTAACTGCATGCTCTGACTGATCAGAGGAAGGAAAAACATTGGTGGGGGCTTTTGAGCTACAATTTCTAGTGGATGCACTCAAGATACATCAACTATCTTGACCCTGAGGTAGCCTTGACTGGGGGATTCCTGGTGCAAGTTGAAGAATGGCTATGTGTGACACATCCCTTTTGTTCAATACAAAAAATTTTTGGTAGGTAGTGAGGTCATTATTATTCTCATATGGTGGATGAGAAAACTGAAGCTCAGAGAATTTAAGAGACTTGTTTAAGTTCAACATAGTGGCAGAGATGGGACTGAAGTAGGCCTTTTGAATTTCTATAAAAGGCCATGTCTAATACACCTCTCAGGTACAAGGGAGTGTCTAGTAATAAAACTACAATTATCAAATGGTAATTCTAGTGGATTGGTTAGAGAGTTGTTAAGAAACAGTATAATGAAGGTGTGGCTATTATAAACCATATCTTGATGCATAAGGGGCAGGTACTTAGATATTTCATAGGGTGTGGGATGGTTTCATAACGACCACAATTCCAACGATGCCTTCACCATTAGGAAAAAGATCTGTGGTAAACTATGACATGGAAGAGTTATACTCACCTATTGTATCTGGGTTTCAGGGTCATAAAAACACCAAACATCTTGAGGTTTTGAAATACTTAGTAATATTGTTCCAGAATAAATGGGCTTGTTGCAAGGTAGAGCCATCTTTAGTGATGTGGAGGCCTTTCTTCTGCAGGGAGTTATTAAAACATTATCACCCAATAGCCTTAAAATGTCATGAAACCCCACTATAATACTTTTGGGCTAATCAATACCATTTGGCTAATATCCCTTTGTAACATTATGCCTTTGGAACTAACTGTATCCTGTAATGATGTCTTATCTATCATTGTGTTTTTGTGGAACCAAGTTACAATGTTAACTGTGTTCAGTCATTTTTCAGTTGTGTCTGACTCTTTATAACCCCATTTGGAGTTTTCTTGGCCAACTGGAGTTGTTTGCCATTTCCTTCTCCAGGTCATTTTACAGATGAGGAAACTGAGGCAAACAGGACTAACTGACTTCCCCAGGGTCACACAGCTGGTAAGTGTCTGAGACCAGATTTGAATTCAGGTCTTCCTGACTCCAGGGCTGGTGCACTATCCACCGTGCTGCCTTGCTGCCTCATACAGTCTGCTAATATTAAGTTTTCTTAATATACCTTGAAAGGAAATACTTTAAAGTGTGTCAATTTGCAAAAACATTCTGGCCACAAAATCTCAGAGCAATGAAAAAAAAGTGAGTGAACTTAGGGGTTTTGTAACAATCACGATGATAATTTCTTTTACCAAGCCTTTACCGGGTCTGCCATTGAAGAATCATGAACTAAAAAATTAAAAGCCATTGGACAAACTCTTACAGGCAAGTCTATTTTCTTTTCTTTATGATTTATCATTGTGGATATTTTTTCTCTTCTCTCTCTCCCGAAGAGCCCTTCCTTTCAGCAAAGAATAAAAAAGAGAGGGGGAAAAAAGAGCTCATCAAAACTACCCAATACACTGAAAAAAAAATTGACATTGTATAGTGTTCAACTCCAATAGTCTCCTCCACCTCTGTAAAGAAAAGAAAGAAGTGCCTTCTCATATCTCTTATTATAATTTCAAAGCATTCAGTTTTCTTGTTCCTAACAAGTTCAATCTTATTGTTGTTCCCATTTACGTTGTTGTAGCCATCATGCATATTTTTTCCTGGTTATACTTACTTTGTTTTCTGTTTACATAAAGTATATCAGTGCATATAAATTGTCTCATGCTTCTCTGTGTTCATCAAGTTCATTGTTTCTTACATTTCAGTCACATTCTATCACACTCATGTACAATGATTTATTTAGCCATTCCTTGATTGATGAGCATCTAGTTTATTTCGAGTTCTTAGTAAGAACAAAGTTGTGTCAGAATAGCTTATTTTAAATGTCATTGGGCATCAAGTGAAATCTGAACAGTTTGTCTACAGGTCACCTAACATGGTTAATTAAGTATTGAAAACTAGGGTTTTTTTAAATCCATTGTGTAAATAAATGTAAATAAAATTACTTTATTAAAATTTTTACCTTCACTGGATCATATACACATGTCCTTCAAAAAAATACAACTCTTCTTTTTTAGACACATTTAACATTTAGTCTCACTGCTCCTTTCAAAGGCAGAGACTTAAATGCTAACTCTGATTTCATTCAACAATAAACTGGAGATAATTGAGGACAAATTTATTCAATTCATTCCAACATGCATTTGTTAAAAGCCTACTCTGTGATCTACTGCATGGATCATTTTTACTTTAATAATAATAATACCTTGCTTTTGTAGAATGCACTATTTCTCAAACTGTGTTCTCTGGAACCCTGGTGATCTGTGGGATGCGAATGAGGAGTTCCATGAGAAAATTTCAGTGTTAGCAATAATTATTTGGGGACAGAAGAAGGTAGAAGGTTCTCTTTTCCTCAGTCTGAGGAAAGGAAGGAATAGGTAAGGCAGGGTTCACAGTAAGTATAGGAAGGATAGCAATGTAGTTAAAGCAAAAGGGTGGGCAGTATTTAAAAAAAATTAATTCTGCAAGAATGGAAGGAAAATGTGGTGGTGAGAGTGTTTGTGAGCCACTAAAGGTTGATGGCTAAGCAAGTTATCTAGTCCTGCTGAACTACAATCAAGCTGAGTTGGTACTCAATAATACCCATGTGCAGATACATATTTTAGGACATGGCCAGCAAGGGAATCCTTTTTTGCTTGATGTTGCACACTTGTTGCAAGACTTTTCTTTTCCTTTTTTTGTTCAAAGGAGTGGGAAGAGGAAATAAAAAAGAGAGAAAATAAATGCCTTCTAATTGAAGAAAAAAAATTATCCAAAATTGTTTATTTAAATTATACTTATGGCTCTAGAGTACTTTAACACTATTCTATATTGTCATGAAATGTGGTCCCTAGAAATGGTGCCAAACTAGTCTCTCTCCCCATCTGTGAAATGCAATTATTCCTAAGCATGCTAAGATTCATTAGTTGGTCCTTTTTATTTATCCCACACAGTTTCACTCCTTGTTCTTTGCCCAACATTATAAACACCCACTTTGTTCCTCCAGTCTCATTTATGAGATACTCCTCTTTTCATCATGCTGTCTTTCTGTAACTTGGAAGGAATCCCAGAAGGCCATGCTCTGCATATGATAACATTGCTACTGGAACTACAGTGTCCATGGTTGTAATTGTTGCTTTTCCGTAAGGTCACCTTCAGGTAGAAAAGGGAGATAAGAAGGAAGTGCTATGGCCTGGGGACCTTGGTTTTTAAGAAAATCTTTCTCACAATCTGTATCTTAAAGGAATTAGGATTGTGATTTTTTTTTTTTGACCCTGGGATCTGCAAGAAAAAAAATGTTCACCTTTTTTTTAAACTTCATGTGTTTTTGTAGTTACTTTATTTTAAAAATTTTTTGTTCATTTTGAACTTGAATATAAAAAAGACCAAAAAAAAGGACATTTCCATACACACATCACAACATCAAAAGAGGATTCAATATAACACCATGAATTTCCATTTTGTATTGTAGACTTTTTTTAAACTATGTGATAAATACTATACATTGTTTTCAAAGCTACTCTGCTTTTCTGTGCTTCCTTCTCAGTTTTCTTTTGTTCTATGTTGGGCACTTAATTTTTTTTTCTCCCTCCCTCCCCACCTCACCCTAGAGAAGGCTATTATTAGACACACATATATATATATATATATTTATAAACACACACACACACATATATATGTAAAACCTTACTATACATACTTCTATTTATCAGTTCTTTTCTCTGGAGGTGGATAGCACCTTCCTTCATAGGCCCTTTGCAGTTGATTTGAGCATTTATATTACTCAAAATGACTCAGTTGTTCAAAATTGTTCTTAGAACAATATTGCTGTTGCTGCATACAACATTCTCTTGGTTCTACTCATTTCACCCCTTCGTTATTTCATACAAGTCGTTCCATGTTTTTCCGAAATCAATCAGCTCATCATTTCTTACAGCACAGTAGTATTCCCTCACAATCATATACCAAAACTTGTTTAGCCATTCCTCAATTGATGAATATCCCCTGAATTTCCAGTTCTTTACCACCACAGGTTTATATCATTTACCAAGATAAGGTCAAAATGGATACATGGCCTAGATGTATAAAGGGAGATGTCTTAAGAAAATTGGAATAACATGTAACATATTACCTATCAGACATGGGTAAAAAAACAATTTATGAATAAACAAAAGATAGAGAGCATTGCAAGGTGTACTTAGTGTACTTTTTTCCCCCAAGAAAGTCAGTTGTTAAATGTTACCAGCATATCACTTTCCCTGGGCCTCAATTTGAATATGTATAAAATAAAATTAAAAAATCTAAACAAAAAAAAAAAGGGATTGGATTGGATGACCTGTAAGTCCCCTTCCAGTTCTAAATTTATGGTCCTCAAAGTGCTTGGTTACATTCATGAATACCACTGGTATTCTTTGTTTTTTCATGTTATTATATTTCAATGGATCCATGATCCCATCTGTGCAGGAATTCCATCCCTACCTCTCACCCCGATATAGATTATATACTGACATCTCATTCTATATTGTTCATGTAGGTTCTTCCATAGATTCTTCAAAAATAACTTACTCAATAGGCTTGGAGGCCTACCTTTTTGTTTTTTCACTTTTTGTGTCTGCCATTATAGCACCCTGACTGCCCTTTGTTCTTGTTAGGAAATCCTTCCACCTCCTTTTCTAATCATACATTTCCTGGCTGATGTTCCTTAAGCCACTTCTTAAGCATAGTTCCAACCTCTTTATCTTAAGGTTCTCCTCCAGTTAGAAGGGATAATAAGCTCATAGTCATCCCTTTTCCTCTGGCTCTTTCATGCTAAAAGTGACCTGTTCTCAAAGAAAGTTCATGTTATTCTTCCCGAATACCTCCATGGCAATTTTAGATTGGCCTAGTATCTTCTGGACAAAGATAATTCATGCAAATTTCAATTCCAGGTTTATTCTCAGCCAAGCAGGAAGCCTCTTGACCAATACTGGACTTTTTTTGTTTGTTTGTTTCTGTTTTTTGCTAGGCAATGGGGTTAAGTGACTTGCCCAGGGTCACACAGTTAGTAAATGTTAAGTGTCTGAGGCCAGATTTGAATGCCAGTCCTCCTCACTCCAAGGCCAGAGCGCCACCTAGCTGCCCCTTTGTTGTTGTTGGTTTTTTTGTTTGTTTGTTTGTTTTGTTTTTCGAGGCAATTGGGTTTAAGTGACTTCCCCAGGATCACACAGCTAGTGGCTATCATGTGTCTGAGGTTGGATTTGAATTCAGGTCCTCCTGACTCCAGGGCCAGTGCTCTATTTACTGAGCCACCTAGCTGCCCCAGTACTGGGCTTTTGGAGGCCTTCGAGCTCAAAGAATTTAGATACAGAAGAGACTGAGAGATCATCTAGTCCAACCTTTTTATAGATGAGGTACTAGAGGAAAAATGACTTGACTGGTTTCACAGTCACTAAGCAGCAGGGTTAGGATTTAAACACAAGTGTTCTCTCTCTAAATTCCAATACTCTTTCCTTTACACCAGAGGTGTCCAATAGGCAGCTCACAATACTCCTGAATACTTTATAACCAGATGAAAATATAATTCAGAAATATTTAACAAAATAAATAAAAATATAATAAAATACAGATTGTATTAATACATCATTTTCGAAGCCAAAGATCCTTATCTATGATTTGGTGGCCAGCATTTCTACTTGAGTTTGACACCAATGTTCTACACAAAGAATATTTAGCCTGGTGTCCACTGACTCCCCCCCCCCCCCACCAAAACAACACAGTGGATAGATATCAGGGTGCATGAAACTGAATGGGGAAAATTACATTTTTCATTAACCTCTAGATGAAATTTAACATTTCCTTCAATTATGCATTAAAAAGTAAAAAAAAAAAAACCAACATTATTCTGAGAAGAGAATCTACCTTCACCGGATTGGCAGAGGGGTCTGTGACATCAAAAGGCTTAAAAACCTCTTATCTCTATTATGCTGCTTCAACCACCACTCCTTACTCAACCACTATGTAACCAGCAGGCTCCTACTCCAGGGGAGACCATCACATTACCATATTATAGAACATATCCCAAAGGTACAGAGGTTACTCAGACATTCCTCCCAACCACTTTTAGTCTTATTTCCTGCTTTCAAGGAACTTCTAATCTTGTTGAAAAGAAAGTGTGTGCATGATGATCACAATAAGACAATGGGCCTCCTGCCCTCATGATCCCCCAAACGAGCATGCTGTTAGAAATGGGGCCCAATACTCACATTTCTAAGGAAGCCATCATGAAAACACATCAAAAACACATCAACAAAAACCTTGGTAAGGAAAGAAAACGTGTCTTTTGGCAAAAGAGACATATTCTTTGGAGAATTCACAATGTGCACCTTAGGAGCTGTCCAAGTTACACCCATGTTAAGATATATCCTGTTTATTCAGAAGTGAAACCAGTTTCTTGCCCTCTTCTTTTGTTCTAGCTGTAGGTCAAATAACCAAGTCACTGGCAGGCACTGATAGGGATACAAACAAAACCCTGACTCCTTGTTCATTGGACAATTTGAGAATTGTCAACTCTAAGCAAGCCAAAGGAAGCTTATTGAACACTCTATTAGGCAGTGTGTGTGTGTGTGTGTGTGTGTGCGTATTTATGCAACTCCACGTAATTATGTGAAAACAATTTCATATCTTACTCTTATGGATTCCCAATTTACTCCTTTGCTAAAAACCTTCAAAGTCTCTTATAAGAATAAAATAATGTACAAACTTCTTATCCTGACACTTAAGACCTGCTATGGATCCTAATTGATCTTTTCAGGTTTACTTCATTCTATTCCTCTTTATGTACTTCTAGTATCAGTCAAGCTGGATGAATATTACTCAGTTTCACTTTCTTTCCTGCCTCTCTTCACTTGTGTAGGCTATATCCCATGACTGAAACACATTCCCTTCAACATCTCCACTAACTAAAATTCTCCTTTAAGCCCCAGATCAGGTTTTATCTCCTGCATGAAATCTCCTCTGATATTCTAGATTAAAATGATTTTCCTTTCTTAAATTTTTCATCACCTTGCCCAGAACTCTCCTTTGCACTTACTGAACTTAATCTTATCATATTGATTTATGTGCTATCTTAACTTAGCTATTATATTACTAACTCCTTGAAGGAAGTGATTACATTGTTTTTTAATCTTTATATCCCACTGGCTAACATAGTGCCTTGCACATAGATACTTAGAACATATTTGTTGAATTTTTTTTTTTGTGCATGTACAGATCACTGTTCTAGTTGTTAGAGAACATACAGAGTTTAACTGAGACAGAATGCCTGTCCTCATGAAGTTCACATTCACTTAGGGGTAAGATGGCACAAACACAAATAACAATATAATAATCCAAGATAAATGTGTAAGTGAAGTGGAAGCAAGTGCTATGTGAGTTTTGGGCGGGGGGAAGATCATTGCTGAGCCAAGAAATTCATCATGGAATCGATGGTATTGGAATTTGGCTGTAAAGGATGGGTAGGAATTCAATAGTTAGTGAATATAGGGAAGATCATTCCAGGAATAAGTATGAATAAAGGCACGGATGGGAAAAAAATGTGGTGGGTATGGGGGCTGTTATGTAGTCTAGTTTGAGTGGAAGGTCTTCAGATAGACATCTAATAATATAAGTAGTACTTTAGTTTTCTTTTTTTTTTTTGGCAAGGCAATGGGATGAAGTGACTTGCCAAGTGCCAAGTGTCTGAGGCCAGATTTGAACTCAGGTCTTCCTGAATCCAGGGCTGGTGCTCTATCCACTGTGCCATCTACCTGCCCTGTACTTTAGTTTCCTTAGAGAAGTAGATACATGGAATGAAGGAGGAGGGGAAGGGTGGTATGAGATAAGGCCACACTGTAGAGATCCTTATGGTTTGGACTTTACATGATATGAAACAGGAAGCCATTGAATAGTTAAGAGTGGAGGAGCAGTATGATCAGATTTACTCACCAGAAAACTGTGTGGCAGTTATCAGGTAGGATAGATTGGAAGGGTGAGAAGAGATGATAGTGGGTTCAAATTGGGGTCTCAAATGATTGTTGAGTTCATGTTCACAGTGAATGTTTCCTTCTCACCAAAATATTGTTAATTACTTACATATCTAATATTAAGAAGGACCTGTCAGAACCACTAGAATGCTAGTATATAGAAAATCATTATTATAAATGTCCTTTTCAAATGTTTATTAAGTACCACTGAGGCATAAAGGTTAAGGTAAGTCTGATCTGTACGGCTGTTTACCTTTTGGCAGTAACCATGCTCCAATCTACATTCTGACTAGTTAATGAAATCTGTGTAATTTCTTTTTCTCTTTTTGCATTTGTTTATGAGGTTTTAATGTCCCAACACATATTCAACTTTTGTAAAGGGACTGTGTACAGCTAAGAAATATGTAAATATCTTTCTGTTCCTATTTAATAATCATCATCAGTCTATCATATCTAACTTTTCTAAAGTTCTATTTAGGTCCTTGACTTTGTTTATCTAACTTTTTGTTAGATTTGTCTACAACTGAAATGGTACATTGAGGTCTACCATTAACAGTTTTACTATCTACTTCTTGCAATTCTTTTGACTTTTCCTTGAAGTATTTAGAACTATGCTATTTTTGTTGTTCTTCAGTCATGCCTGACTCTTCATGATCTCATATGGGGTTTTCTTGGCAAAGATATTAGAGTGATTTGCCATTTCCTTCTCTAGTGGGTTAAGGCAAATAGAGGTTAAATGACTTGCCCAGCATCTCACAGGTATTACATGTTTGAGGCTGTATTTGAACTCAAGTCTTCCTGACTCCAGGCCCACCATTCTAACCACTGAGTCACCTATATGCTATTTGGTACATATTCATTAAATATAGGTATTGGTTCATTATCTAAAGTGCTTTAAGTATAATGTAGTTTCTCTGCTTATCTTTTTGTAATATTTCTATTTTTACTCTTGCCTTGTCTAAAACAATGATTACCAGTTCCTGCTTTTTTTAAGCTCATCTAAAGCATATTAGATTTTGCTCCAGTCTTTTATTTTAACTGTCTGAATATTTATTCTCCAAATAAATTTATTGTGTGGGGTTATTGATTCAGTTATCTCACTCCACTTAAGGTAAGTGATTAGATACTACCTTAATCAGTGATAACTTAAACAGGTGAAAATATATCTTAATAAATCAATCAGACTTCTAAGTGTGAAAAGTACTTGAAAGCCATTGGATAAACTGATGTCATTGTTAACAAGTATGTTATGATTGATTGAAAGACTTATTTCCTTCTCCCCTCCTCCCCCCCAACTCAACTCTCCAAGGCATGGAATCTGGGAGACTTGTCAAGTTTCTGTTCTGAACCAGGAGCTAGTTAAGAAATTTGGAGTGAATGGCAAATCAGTAGAGAATACTCTAGCTGTATCTCTGTGAAAGAATTGCTTGGGTATGCTTGGGGAGGATTTGGAATTTTTCATCAGCATCCTAGCAGTGTCCCTAGGACAGTAGTTGTTGGTAGTAGTATATGCATTAGGAACCAGTAGTAGATTGGATACAATGAGAAAATGGACATTCAAGACTCAACAAGGAGGGCCACAGAAAAATAAAGCCGTACCTAAGGGGAACTTCATTAATACCTCACAAGGGAAGTATAGGACTTCTAGAAGCTAGAAGCTGTGATTTGCCACATGTGTTCTCAAAGCTCCAGCCATTTCCTCCTGAAGTCTGTATGTACTTGAAGAAGAATATGTTACAGATATTTGGAAAGATGTCTTGGACCAATAGTTCTTACTGTGCCAATTTATTAAAAACCCCTTTCTAAAAGCAGAGTCTGGCTGAATCATTGATATCAAACAACAGCCATAAGGAGTAGGGGTACATAAGCTATAGCATTAGAGAACCACTCCAATTTCTCAGGGCTACCCTCTAGATCCTTGAGGGTAGCAGCTGAGCTCTGGAGACCCAGCCTACTAGTGTGAGTGGATATTGGAAGGGTAGTTCAGAGCATTTGCTATATATTCGCAAACAACCTATCTCCAGTTGTCCTACTCAATATCTGCCACTGGACCCAGATGGCTCCAGAGGAGAAAATGAGGCTAGTGACCTTGTCCAGCCCTGCCTCACTAAAATCCAATCCACTCGGAAGTCACGGCATCATCTTCCTGGTGTCGTGGTCCTCTTTGAGAATGAAGGACAAACAACATGAACAGCAGCAACAACAACAAGAACATTTTTGGATTCTAAATTCTGATCTATTTTGATGTCCTCTTTCGTTTTATGAGTTCATCTCGTTCATATTCCCGGTTATGCTTATTAATTTTATGTTACCTCTGGCCTTTTAATCCCTTCTTCACACTCCGCTTTCTGATATCACAGCTGCTTTTGCTTTTTTTTTTAAACTACCTTTACATGTAACCTACTCTCCCTCTGGAGGTATATGAGGTGTTCAGGGAGGAATAGCACCGCTGTGTGTGGGCTTGCCAAGCCTTTTTGGGGCTGCTCAGCCATCTTTGGTAACCACCTCTCACCCAGCTCTCACCTGTAGCTCCAGCAGCCACACTCCGATAAAACCGTCTCAGCAATGGACTAAACCAGGTTGAGAGCAACCAACAGGCCTCAAACCCGTCGGTAAGTTAGGGGAATGTCTGCCCCGAACATGTGAAGACTTCCCCCAGCAGAATGGGCAGATGAGAACAATTTGTGCCAGTGGCCATGAAGGGAGCTTGAAGAGCTTTGTCAGACACTGAAGATGCCAAGGTCATCCACTGAATCCTGCGCCATCATCAGTCATCTTGATTTTGTTCTGCCACTGGACTGTGGAAGAGAGAGTGAGGCTGATGACTTTGTGCAACTCTGCCTCACTTAAATCCAATTTACATGCAAGTCAAGACAACATCCATCACCCACTATTTTACCCCGGTGTCATGATGTCATTGGTCCTCTTTGAAAACAAAGGATCAAAAACTTTTCCTTTTAAATCCCTTTTCTCCCCCTGTCCCCCCTATTTCTTTTTTTGAGTTTTATGTATTTTTACACCAAACTCTGTGTGTGTGTGTGTGTCTGTGTGTGTGTGTGTGTGAGAGAGAGAGAGACAGAGAGACAGAGAGAATAAGCTTCCTCTTCCTTTTCTTCCTTTCTATTTCCCTCTTCTGCTAAGACTATTAAAACAAAACCACTCCTGGGCTCTCTGTCTATCTTATTGAACTCCATCTATGTCCTTCAAAGACATTAGGATTTGGAGGCAACACTTGTTTCTTCTCCTTCTAACATGTCAATAATTTATCATATAGTCCTTTCCAATGGACTATATATACATATTTTTTCTATGTTTATCTTGATTCTTATTTTTGTATTGCAAAATTTCTACTTAGTTACTACTTATAATTAG